TGACCAATCAGGATTGAGCCAGAAGCTTCGTTCATGTTTAGCTTTAATGTGTCGTATTTAGTGTGTTATGCAATTATCATTAATATTATTATTATCAGACGCTTGTTTCTTGTTAAATTGAAGAGAGATGTGTCGTATTTAGTGTGTTATGCAATTATCATTAATATTATTATTATCAGACGCTTGTTTCTTGGTAAATTGAAGAGAGATGTTCATATAAATGAATGTTTTTTCAATATCTGCACATTTTTGTGGGATCTCTTTGTATATCGTCCTGTCTTTGATCTGGATTTCAGCCTAAGCTTTGTGAAAAGTGACAACAGTTTTTCTAAAATCCTCCAAAAACATTTCAAATTTCCACGTTTCAGTGATAATGAGTGATTAAATGCATCCAAATTATTTTATTTCACCTAAAGAATTTGAAGTCTGACTCAATTTTTAAGGAAAAAATAGGATCGTTTTTGTTATTTAAATTCTCTTAATAATTCTTTTTTTTTCATTTATCAGCTTCTAAGTTCAGGAAAACGTGTGTCAGAGTTTCTGAACTGACTTTTAGGTTCTTGGAAGAGTAATTAAACAGGATTTTAAAACATTTTTCAAAGATTATCTCATTAAATCAGAAAATATTAGATATTTTTCCTTTAAAAATAATCTTGTTAGTTCAGGAAAACCATTCGTGATTAGTAAAAGTTTCCTGTTACAATCATCTAATTAATTAAGACAAATAGACCTTTTTAAATATGAGTTCAATTCTTACATCTTACAGCTCATATTTATTAGTAGCTTACATAGTACATGAGTGGACAAATATGCTGCACATCTATCCCTCAATTATTTCAAACTCACAAAATGTAAATATCTGAAGAGAATTTAACCCCTGAAATGATCTTCTTTTGCTAAACGATTTAATATTTAACCACATCAACATATTTTATATACTGAAAAACATTTAATACGTTTTTGTGCGTGTGCTTTGTTTCAGCTTTCCAAAAGCAACTGCCAGTACCATAAAATATTCAAGGAGATCAGCAAAGAGGAGCAGCTCCGACAGAGTAAGTATCGGCTCCTGCTTAAATACTTTATAACGGAGCAGCTAACGGTTGAGGGTTTGATTCCAGCAAACTCTTTTATGGGTCAACCAGACAAAAGAAGTCAGTTTGATCCGATGATGGAACTCGTTCAAATTACTCTATTCTGGTTTCCAGGAAGCTTTTCTTCTTGTTTTGGGTTTTAAACGTGGGGGGGGGGGGTCTCAGGTGTCCTTCTGTAACCTGATGTGTGCTCGGCCTGTTTGCCAGGTTACACCTGCGCCCTGCAGAAAGACATGCTCTATCAGGGACGGATGTTCGTCTCCGACCACTGGATCTGCTTCCATTCTAAGGTGTTTGGCAGAGACACAAAGGTACTGGAACCGGCCGGTTCTGACCCTCAGCTGTGGAGGCTTTTTGTGGGGTTTGTTCTGCGATTAATTAAGAAATTAATTAACATTGACTTGATCAAGGTGGTGAAAATCATCCTGATTCATCAAAGTCTTTAAGTTCTTGAACTCTTGTCCTAAAACAAAACAAAAAGGCAAACTTTGCTTTTTACTGAAGTTTGAAACAACAATATGTGAATAAATCTACACATCTGATGGACATTTATGAACTTTAAGCATGGATTTTTGGTCTCTTTTAACAGTGAACGCCACAGAAATGTTTAATGAAGCATTTCAATAACTTAAAATGTACAAAATGTAGAGCTGGACACATCAATGTGTTGATATTGTGTTATTACATTATTAACACATTGTTACCACATTATTACTGGGTTATTAACACATTATTACATGTTGTTATCATTATCAGTCGTATTTATTATTATTATTATTAGTATTTATTATTATTAGTAGTAGTATCATTATTATCATTATTACTTGACATTATGTGCTTTGATCATTTTTAGAAATACAAAATGAATACTGCAGTAAAAAGTAATATTATCAAAAAATGTCATTGGGTTTTTTCCACTAAACCGTAGCATTTCCTCTCGTTCTAAAAGTGTTTAAAAAGTGAGAAAACATTTAACAGATGGATCTATTAAGCTAAACGTGACTCACACTGACCCGTTTGTCGTGCTGTTTGTGTGTCCCAGATCGCCATCCCCGTCACCTCCATCACCAACATCAAGAAGACCAAAACCGCCATCCTGGTGCCCAACGCCCTGGTGGTCGCCACCGCCAACGACAGGGTGCGGGGACCCACACAGTGTGTGTGAGCGGGTGTGAGGACGCATTCAGAGTGTGCGTTTCTGTTTGTTGTTGCAGTACGTGTTTGTGTCCCTAATGGCCAG